ATATTTTTCTCTGTATAAAAGGAGATTACGCTGCAATACCAGCACCGGCCAGTAGGGGAGAGAGGCAGGGATAGAAAGTTACATCATCTTCCTGCATCTCTACTCACTGATCCTCGGGGGGGAGCAGCTACACAGCACAGAGAGTCCAGACAGCAGCTCCCAGCCTGCAGAGACAGACTACAGCTCAGGGAAGTGACGGATGGGGGGAAAGGGAGACATGGCGACACTGGGAGATGTGGGGACACTGGGAGATGTGGGGACACTGAGACACATGTCAATGTCCACAAATGCTCCCATGTCTCCCAGTGACCCCAAGTGTCTGTGTCCCCATGCCTCCCAGCCAATGTCCCTAGTGTCTCAGTGTCCCCTAGTCTCTCAGTGTCTTAGTTTCCCCAAATGTCCCCATGTCCCCTAGTCTCTGTGACCCCATTTCTCCCAGTGTCCCCAAATGTCTCAGTGTCCCCATGTCTGTATCCACAAGTGCTCCCAGTGTCCCTAAGTGTCTCAGTGCCCCTATGTCTCCCAGTGTCCCCAAGTGTCTGTGTCCCTGGGTCTCTCAGTGTCCCCATGTCTCTCAGTGTCCCCTAATATCCTAGTGACATGGGACACACTGAGACATAGGGACACTGGGAGAAATGGGGACACAATAATTTACCTGTATTGTAGCGTGGGCTGGCAGAACAGCGCGCACCACAGTACAGGAACTTGAATTTCAGTTTCCGGCCGGACTGAAAGGAAGTGTGCACACTGAGTGTGCACTTCCTTTCATTCCGGCCGGAAACTGAAATTTAAGTTCCTGTACCGCGGTGCGCGCTGTTCTGCCAGCCCACGCTACAATACAGGTAAGTACCGTTTCTCTCACAAGAGGATAAAAACCGTTTAGGCGATAATCCCCTTTCCCATAGACCAGCAGCTACTGCAAGCACCAAACTACAAACTGTACGAATTCACCAACTCCCGAACTGGAAACACACGAACACTGGAATCAGCCAAACAGGAAAAGCATACAATCCGCTTACACTCCTGGCAGTCAGCATACAATCCAATTCCCCCCAAAAACGAGACGACACATCGGTTTGAGGGTCAAGCAGAATCTTTTTGTACTGTCACATACAGTCTCTTTTATTCCCAATCCACAAACATAGTACAGCCCACAGGGCGTTACAAAACAACCAATCAATCCGTACAATACACCCAGACACTCCCACACAAAATCCTCCCCTCTGCAGGTGATATGATTACTGAACACAATGGGTAATCTAATTATCACAGCCAGAGAAATACAGTTTCATAAAACACATCACAGGGACCCCAAAACATGCAATAACCCCATAAAAGTATATCCTTGGAACTGGGGGATCTGGGTGAACCACATATCCAAAATTCACCCAGATCCTTTCAGTACTTTGGAAAATACAGTTTAATGCAGATTCTGCAGAACAAATACAGGCTAAATAAAAACAATCACTGTATAATGTGTCCCCTGCTGTATAGTCCAAAACCACCGCACAATGTCTCTGTGCAACAAATACTGGCGAGATGGCACCGTGTTGAAAAGTCCACACAGTGTCTGTGAGTTAAAATGGCCGCCATCCATTGTTCTCACCATGTGCTTCTGATACAGGAAATGGTGGCCACCCAGAAACTCCACAGTATGTCCCCAGATGGTTCTTAAAAAGGCCAGCAGCAGCACAACACAAATCCATTATGCCCAAATTATGTCTTTAAAGGGCAATACATCCCAGGGGCCATAGTCACATGGCAGGAGGCTGGCAACCAGGCTTCTCCAGTGCATAGTGGCGAGATTGGTTCCGCCACACTTCTCCCCTTTACCAATCAGACTAACAGGGTATCTGACCTCCTGCCGGTCAGTGCCCTTGTTAGTCCAGCAGCCCACCCACAAAACACAATCAGTAATACAGCCCACCCACAATAACTGGCTACTACACCTAGGTAGAGGAGAACTTTGTCCGTGTCCAGGTGCCTCACCATGGCTGTGTGGGTGACTGGTAAGCGTACTGGGTGGGTTGCTGAGTGGGCAGAGACCAGCAGTACTCTGTCCTGGTGCCAGCACTACCACGGGAGTAGTCTGGTTGGAGCCTGGTTGCTGGAGGGGGAGACAGACTGTCTCCCCTTTGCCTAAACAGTCCTGCTGCTGGGGGACAGGACCGACTGTCCCTACCCCTGGTGGTGCATGTGCAGAGACCACTGTCCCATCTGCACTGTTGTGGAGATTACTGTCTCCCCTTGGTGGGCTAAGCTGCCGCTGGGGAGAGGGGGTAACAAGCTCCTCTCCCATACATACTTTCAGCCGCTGGGGAGAGGGAATAACAAGCTCCTCTCCCTGACACTCTCTCTGCTGTTGAAGGGGGAGACCGACTGTCTCCCCTTTCAATAATTTGTCCTGTTGCTGGGGAGAGGTGATAACTGGTTCCTCTCCCTGGAACACTCTGTGCTGTTGGAGAGGGGGACCAACTGTCTCCCCTTTTAATATATTGTCCTGCTGCTGGGGAGCGAGACTGACTGTCTCCGCTTCCTGCAGGACACACTGCCGCTGGGGAGGAAGGACGACACCTTCAGCTCCCTGGGATACACACTGCCGCTGGGGAGGAAGGACGGCACCTTCTGCTCCCTCGGGTACACACTGCCGCTGGGAAGGAAGGACAGCACCTTCTGCTCCCTGGGGTACACACTGCCGCTGGGGAGGAAGGACGACACCTTCAGCTCCCTGGGATACACACTGCCGCTGGGGAGGAAGGACGGCACCTTCAGCTCCCTGGGACACACACTACCGCTGGGGAGGAAGGACGACACCTTCGGCTCCCTGGGACACACACTGCCGCTGGGGAGAAAGGACAACACCTTCTGCTCCCTGGGGTACACACTGCTCCCTGGGGTACACACTGCCGCTGGGGAGGAAGGACGACACCTTCAGCTCCCTGGGATACACACTGCCGCTGGGGAGGAAGGGGCACCTTCAGGTACACACTGCCGCTGGGGAGGAAGGACGACACCTTCAGCTCCCTGGGATACACACTGCCGCTGGGGAGGAAGGACGACACCTTTCAGCTCCCTGGGGTACACACTGCCGCTGGGGAGGAAGGACGACACCTTCAGCTCCCTGGGGTACACACTGCCGCCGGGGAGGGCGGACGATACCTTTGGCGCAATCTGCCACGACCTGCAGGTACTCTGCTACATGTCTCCTCACGCGCTGCACAGACTCCTCCGAGGGGGTGTAGGATCCATAGAGAGCCAGCCGTGTTTTAAACTCTCTGTCAAACTCCTCCTGAGTGTAGCTGGGCGCCATGTTTGCTCTGCTGAAGTTGGTTCCTTTGTAGATAGGGTCGCTGTACGGGTACTAGCATTGCCCGCAATTTGTAATCAAGGAATTGATGTTGTCTTGTAGCTGTCCTTCTGGGCTGTGGGAATGATCCCGCCGCTTGCCACCAATTGTAACGGACCGTTTCTCTCACAAGAGGATAAAAACCGTTTAGGCGATAATCCCCTTTCCCATAGACCAGCAGCTACTGCAAGCACCAAACTCCCGAACTGCAAACTGTACGAATTCACCAACTCCCGAACTGGAAACACACGAACACTGGAATCAGCCGAACAGGAAAAGCATACAATCCGCTTACACTCCTGGCAGTCAGCATACAATCCAATTCCCCCCAAAAACGAGACGACACATCGGTTTGAGGGTCAAGCAGAATCTCCCTGTACTGTCACATACAGTCTCTTTTATTCCCAATCCACAAACATAGTACAGCCCACAGGGCGTTACAAAACAACCAATCAATCCGTACAATACACCCAGACACTCCCACACAAAATCCTCCCCTCTGCAGGTGATATGATTACTGAACACAATGGGTAATCTCATTATCACCGGCAGAGGAATACAGTTTCATAAAACACATCACAGGGACCCCAAAACATGCAATAACCCCATAAAAAGTATATCCTTGGAACTGGGGGATCTGGGTGAACCACATATCCAAAATTCACCCAGATCCTTTCAGTACTTTGGAAAATACAGTTTAATGCAGATTCTGCAGAACAAATACAGGCTAAATAAAAACAATCACTGTATAATGTGTCCCCTGCTGTATAGTCCAAAACCACCGCACAATGTCTCTGTGCAACAAATACTGGCGAGATGGCACCGTGTTGAAAAGTCCACACAGTGTCTGTGAGTTAAAATGGCCGCCATCCATTGTTCTCACCATGTGCTTCTGATACAGGAAATGGTGGCCACCCAGTAACTCCACAGTATGTCCCCAGATGGTTCTTAAAAGGGCTAGCAGCAGCACAACACAAATCCATTATGCCCAAATCATGTCTTTAAAGGGCAATACATCCCAAGGGCCATAGTCACATGGCAGGAGGCTGGCAACCAGGCTTCTCCAGTGCATAGTGGCGAGGTTGGTTCCGCCACACAATTTCAATTTTTTTCAGAAATATACTGTGACAGAGTCTATGGGAGGGTAATAGAAGGAAGATATTTAGGACCCAGACTCCTCCATAGCCTGTACTCATTCACCTTCCCAATTAGCAACTGCTGAGGCTTTAATTAGCAGGTCTCAGAGCAGGACGGATTGCTGAATGGATTTTGTGCACGATGTAAATAAACCACACCATTTTTGCATAAGAGACTATTGTTCTGTACCTGTTACCCTAGAGGACTGTGTTCCTTAGCCCATAAAGGTCACAAGATGGTGGAGAATGCGGGCATCTAAAGCACATTTATATGGTCTGTGGGTATAGAGGCCTAAGGTACTGTGACTCTGCAAACGGAGACTGGTTGTTTGAAACAGAGGCCTGCAGGTGTCGTGTGTGGTATTTACCAGGTGGCTGAAAAAAACAAAAAGCCAGATGGAAGAGTTAGTAAAAGCCTTGGTACAGGCTACTACTACCCAGCAAGACAAAAACCGTGTAACAGCGGCTCAGATCAGTAGCCTCATGGAGTCACAGCGACAGGCTGTTGCGGCCCAACAGGAGACAAACCGCTTATTGGCCATACAAATAGACTGCATTATGGAAATACAGCGGGAAGACAGAGTAAAGCTAACAAGTGCTTTGCAACAAACCATACTGTCAAGCGTGACTACCCCTACTATGGATAGGGGGCGCCGGATTAGAGTTACTGACTTTTTACATAAAGTGAGTGAGGTTGATGACATGGAGGCTTACCTGACAACCTTTGAAAGGATTGCTACCCGAGAAGGATGGCCTCCAGGTAAGTGGGCAGGATTATTAGCCCCTTGCCTCAGTGGAGAATCCCAAAAAGCATATGATGATTTGCCTCTCAGCCAAGCACAAGATTGACAGATTGAAAGCAGAAATCCTAACACGGCTTGGAGTTACGCCTGCAGTGCGAGCCCAAAGATATAATGCATGGGTTTATGATACAAAGAAATCTACTAGGTCGCAAATGACCTCTTGAGACTTGCCCAGAAGTGGCTAGAACCAGAATTCAACTCTGCTGCAGTAATCATTGAAAAGGTGGTTATGGATCGCTTTCTAAGGAGTCTGCCGATAGCACTACGGAAATGGGTCAGTCAAGCGGATCCAAAGGACCCAGAAGAAATGATGAACTTGACAGAGAGATACCGGTTTGCTAACGAAACTCAGAGTAAAGAGCCTTACCTCAACGTCAAATTGCAAAGTAACAGGAAACCTGCAAAGAATTCTGGAGGATTTAAAGACGCTGTAACTTTTGAAAACACTATAAAACCTGTACATGAGGGGTACTGTTGTACTCGGGAGACTTCGTTGAACACAAATATTTGTGTTTCAAAACAGTAAAAAGTATTGCAGCAATAATATCATCCGTGTAAGTGCTCTTTGTGCGTGAAAAATGCAAAACACTTCACTTTTACTGGCGATATCATTGTTGTAATACATTTTACTGTTTTGAAACACTAATATTTGTGTTCAGCGAAGTCTCCCGAGTAAAACAGTACCCCCAATTTACAGGTTTTATGGTGTCTTGGAAAGTTATAGGGTTAAATATAGTGCTAGCAAATTAAATTCCCTATACTTTCGGCATGGGTTGTCAGGCAGGTCCCGCTAATTGTAATTAATTAGGATACCTAATTATGTAAAAATATTACATAAATATATGTGTAGAATTAATATATGTATATATATACATATGTTATATATACATATATATATATAATTTTTTAAAATATTTTTATTTATATATAGGTGTATATATTTAGTGATATATATGTATATATTTATGTATATAGATATATATATTATTTCGTTCTACGTGTATTTTGATATAAATATATATATATATTAATATCACAATACAGTTAGAACGAAATAACAAACATCTATATATTTTTTTATTATTTATTTTTAATTATTTTTTTAATTTTATTTTTTTTGCGCATTTACATCCGACAGCTCCACTAGCAAGGCGGGCAGTGACCGCGAGAAGCGGTCACGTGTCCCGCCTGAATCTAAGAGCGCGCCGCAAGTCTCGGGCGCGCTCTTAAAGAGACAGTGGGAGCCTAAATTGTCAAAATATACCCCAACACGTGAGTGGATATAATGGATCCACTCACGTGTTGGGGTATATTCTCGTTACATTACGATAGGGCCATGGACCCCGCAGATTTGGCTCAGCAAATGGCTTCTCATGAGGCAAGGTTTGTAGAGCAGGATCACCGTATGGATCAGATAGCACAGGCTCTCCAGACGCTCTAGTCTAGAACCATTCCTGCAACCGCACCTAACCCTCCTACACCTCATCCTCCCGAAGTATCCAATTCACCCAATTCTTCGCCCCATTTAACACCTCCTCCTAGGTATGGAAGGGAAGCCAAGACATGCAGAGGTTTTATTAATCAAATAGAATTCCACCTTGAGATGTATCCTCATTCCTTTCCCACTGATAGGTCTAAAGTGGGGTTTTTGATGCATCAACTTACTGACAAAGCACTTGAGTGGGCAAATCCTATTTGGGAGGCCAATGGACCTATGGTTCATAATTTCAATAGTTTTCTTACGGCTTTTCGTAGAACTTTTGACACAACAAAGAGGTCAAAGAATGCCGCAAGAGCATTAATGAGGATTAAACAGGGGTCTAGGTCTGTGGCGGATTATGCTATTCAGTTTCGTACCCTTGCTTCACAGGTAGATTGGACCAATAATGGGTTAACTACTGCGTTCATGGAAGGTTTATCTGACACTATATTAGATGAGGTAGCGGCAAGGGAGCTTCCTATTCCATTAGAGGATCTTATTGACTACCTCATTGATATAGATAATAGAATTCGCGACAGGCTCTATACCAAAAACAAGAATAGACGTCTGGTCACATCTATTAACCCCAGAGTTGATAAACCTGAGAGTGTTAAAGTACCCGAGGAGGAACCCATGCAATTAGGGGTTGCCAAACTCTCGGATACTGAAAAACTACTTAGAAGAAGGAATGGACTCTGCCTATACTGTGGTAGGCGAGACCATATGGTAAGGGAATGTCCTTTGCGTCCGGAAAACTCTCGCACCTAAGACCTTATAGGGGACTGGCCTTGGGTGTGATCTCTAAGTCTCCTAAATTGCCTCCTAATCGTTTGCTTCTCCCTGTTTCCCTTCATACGGGGGTGAGTTGTATAGCAGAATGCATACTAGCCTTGGTTGATTCTGGGGCTGCTGAGAACTTCATTGACTCTGAGTTTGTTACGAAAAATAACATTCCCGTCAGAGAAAGGGAGATACCCTTGGCCATTGAGGCCATAGATGGTAGACCTTTAAATACTCCAGTCGTTACCCATGAAACTGTACCATTATTCATGTACACAGGGGTTTTACATCTTGAGACCATTCGGTTTCAGGTTATCACCTCTCCCTCTTCTCATATCGTGTTAGGGTACCCATGGTTGTGTTCTCACAATCCCATTTTTGACTGGGAATTGGGACAATTAAAATCATGGGGTAAAACCTGCCACGACTCTTGTATGATTAAAGTCACCCCTTTAAATACCATTAATGTTCCTACCACTCCTCCTTTGTCTACTGTTATACCTCCTCAATACTTGTTTCTCAAGACTGTATTCGATAAAAGGGAAGCTGATAAATTACCGCCTCACAGATCCTATGATTGTGCTATCGATTTATTGCCTGGCACTATACCTCCTAAGGGCAGGGTGTACCCCTTATCTATTCAAGAAAACTGTATCATGGAGGAGTATGTTAAAGAATCACTAGAAAAGGGGTTCATTAGGAGATCCTCTTCTCCGGCTGGAGCAGGGTTTTTCTTCATATCTAAGAAAGAGGGTGATTTAAGACTGTGCATCGATTATAGAGGTCTAAACAAAATCACTATCAAAAATGCATACCCTATACCTTTAATTACAGAGTTATTTGACAGGCTGAAACATGCTACTGTGTTCACCAAATTGGACCTTAGAGGTGCATACAATTTAATACGCATAAAGGAAGGTCACGAATGGAAGACCGCATTCAACACTAGATCCGGTCATTACGAATATACTGTTATGCCATTTGGTCTTTGCAATGCCCCAGCAGTATTTCAGGAATTTATTAATGACGTCCTAAGAGACTTTATTCACACATTTGTAATTGTATACTTGGACGACATATTGATATATTCTACAGATTTACACACTCATCACAGGCATGTCACAACGGTATTGAAGACCCTTCTTAATAATGGTCTTTACTGTAAACTAGAAAAATGTTTATTTGACCAATCCGAAGTCCAGTTCTTGGGGTATTTGATTTCCGCCAAAGGGTTTCGTATGGATCCCCAGAAGCTTTCTGCGGTTATAGAGTGGCCTCTACCACAGGGTTTGAAAGCAATTCAACGTTTTCTTGGTTTCTCTAACTATTATAGACGCTTTATTAAGGGTTTTTCTTCTATTGTAGCACCTATCACCCGTATGACAAAAAAGGGTGGTAATACTCGTGTCTGGTCTCCCGAGGCACTTCAGGCTTTCGACTTTCTTAAAACTACATTCGCCTCGGCACCTATTTTACAGCACCCTATCCCCTCACTGCCTTATATTCTTGAAGTTGATGCTTCTGAAATCGGGGTAGGTGCTGTTTTGTCCCAAAGAGAATCGCCTGAAAAGCCATTGCATCCTTGTGGCTTCTTTTCTAGACAAATGTCCAAAGCTGAAAGGAATTATGATGTGGGTAATCGTGAACTCCTTGCTATTATCTTAGCCCTTAAAGAATGGAGACATCTGTTAGAAGGAACTAAGGATCCTATTCTAATTTTTACAGATCACAAGAATCTATCCTACCTTGGTGAAGCTAAAAGATTATCTTCTAGACAGGCCAGATGGTCACTATTTTTGTCCCGTTTCAATTATATTATCACCTATAGGCCAGGTGATCGCAACATTAAAGCAGATGCTCTGTCCAGACAGTTCGAAACTACTGACAAACAGGAGGTTGATGTTACTCCTGTCATTCCCCCAGACAGGATAATAGCCACTACTATGTTGTCTATTTCTTCATCCCTCTTGCAGACCATACAGGCGAAACAAAGTATGGCACCTAGCGAGAGGCCTATTGATAAATTGTTTGTTGATGTTCCCGAGAGACGGGAGATTCTGTCATTATATCATGATACTAAGACTGCTGGACATCCTGGTATTACCAAAACGATGTCAGCCGTTTCTCGATATTTTTGGTGGGGTTCCTTACGTAAGGATGTCACTGACTATATAAGTGCTTGTACTACTTGTGCATGTATGAAAACGTCTCGTAGAGTTCCTTGTGGGCTTCTGCATCCCTTACCAGTTCCCGAGAGACCTTGGTCTAACCTATCCATGGATTTTATTGTTGAATTACCCCCTTTGAATGGTAACACAGTCATCCTGATGATAGTAGATCGGTTTTCCAAGATGGCTCACTTTGTGTCTCTTCGCAAGTTGCCCACATCCAAGGAACTGGCTCTTATCTTCGCTAGAGAAGTATTTCGGTTACATGGTATTCCTGTATCTATCGTGTCCGATAGGGGTAGTCAATTTATTTCCAGGTTCTGGAAAGCCTTTTGCTCAGAAATGGGTATTTCTCTCTCATTTTCTTCCGCTTACCATCCCCAGTCTAATGGAGCTGCTGAACGTGCCAACCAGTCTCTGGAGCAGTACCTTCGTTGTTTTGTGTCTCACCATCAGGACAATTGGTCTGACCTACTTCCTTGGGCTGAGTTTGCTCGAAATAATGCCACTCATGATTCTTCCGGCAAAAGCCCTTTTTACGTTGTCTATGGCCAGCATCCCGTTGTTCTTCCGGCTGCATTCTCCTCACAGGGCATGCCAGTTCTGGATGAGCATTTGGCTGGTTTGCGTAATACTTGGGAGCAGGTTCAGCGTTCTTTGGTGGATTCCGCTGCTCGCCAGAAGGCTCAGGCTGACAAGCATCGCAGGGCGGCTCCTACTTATGTTGTGGGGACAGGGTTTTGCTTTCCACGCGGAATATTCGCCTGCGGGTGCCTTCTATGAAATTGGCTCCCCGCTTCATAGGTCCTTATCGTATACTGCATAAGGTTAATCCTGTTTCATACGCCTTGGGTCTTCCTAGGAATCTGCGTATTCCTAATGTGTTTCACACTTCGTTGTTAAAGCCTTACGTACGCAACCGCTATACCCGGCATTCTCCGCCTCCCCCTCCTGTCTCCGTGGAGGGTCATGAGGAATTCGAAGTCTCTGCTGTTCTTGACTCTCGTTACCTTAGGGGTCGACTTCAGTACTTGGTGCATTGGAAGGGTTATGGGCCTGAGGAGCGCAGTTGGATTTCAGCTGATGCTGTTCACGCTCCCCGCCTTGTGCGTTCTTACCATTCTCGTTTTCCTGCCAGGCCTGGCCCTACCCGCCCGGAGGGCGTGTCCTCAGGGGGGGGTACTGTAGCGTTACTCACCTTATCCAGGGGCCGGCCGCGGTCCTCTCTTCAAGCCGCGCGCGGTCCTGCTGCTGCACGAGCCGCGCGCGGCTCATCCGACAGCTCCACTAGCAAGGCGGGCAGTGACCGCGCAAAGCGGTCACGTGTCCCGCCTGAATCTAAGAGCGCGCCGCGAGTCTCGGGCGCGCTCTTAAAGAGACAGTGGGAGCCTAAATTGTCAAAAGGCTCCCATTGGCCCCTGTCATACCACACTCCCCATACACTTACCTTTTGGGGGTGTGGATATGACAGGAGCCAATCACATTAGTTTTGAAGCTATTTAAACTTACCTCTCCCTTTACTCCCTGCCCTATCGTGGTTTCTGTATCAGTTCCCTTTAGCGCTTGTTGTGTTCAGTTGTGTTTCTCCGTATTGACTTTGGCTTTGTTTCTGACTACGTTTTCTCTTAATCCTTATCTGTTCTGGTTGTCGGCTTGCTGTTTACTGTGTACCAGACCCCGGCTTGTCCTAGTTTACGCTGTCTCTCTGTGCCCTTGATTTCGGATCGTTCCTGACTCTGTCTCCTCTCATATACGTCGAGTCCGGCCATTCTAAGGTCCGGTAGACGTATCTCTCCTCTGTGTTGTCTTCTGTTTAGCTGAATCCTGCGTGTTGGGGTATATTCTCGTTACAGTACCTCCGCCATGCCAATGTGGCACTTGTCAGGCTTCAAGGTCAAGCCGGCCCCCCTAATCGTATCTAACACTGACCCTACGTGTTCTAGGTGAGCCTACCAGGTATTGCTATAGATAGCGATGTCATCCAGGTAAGCACACGCATAATCCTGGAAACCATCTAATAGGCGGTCCACCATCTGTTGGAAGGTAGCAGGAGCATTCTTCATCCCGAACGGCATAACCCTAAATTGTTATAGGCCAAACGGGGTGATGAAGGCTGACTTGGGGACCGCATCTTCCGCCAAGGGGATCTGCTAGTATCCCTTGTAGAGGTCAATCGTGGTCAGATACTTGCCCTTAGATATGTGGTCGAGCATCTCGTCCACCCAGGACATTGGATAGGTGTCTGTCACCGGAGTGTTTTGTTTGTATTGTCTGTGATCGGCTAATATCCAATATGTGTCCCAGTGTTCCATCAGGTCCCCTAGGGGAGTGTCCACCTGGTGGACACTTGCATAAATACCAGGCAGGTAGCCCTCAATAAACCAGAACTACTTGACCCTTTCTTGAAGCCTTGGCTCATGCTTGGGGGATGGGATAACTACACTCTTGGGGATTGCTATATCACAATAGTCCCCTGAGTATAAGCTCTTGCACGTCTACCCACTGGAAGCTGGATCCTGGCCTTGGGTCCAGGGTGGGTGAAAGACGACGAGACCATGGCGCAGCTGCATCGCTGGAAGTGGGGTCTGCAGGGCTGATGGTGTCGGTTGGAGTGCTTGGAGTCCTTGGCAAGCACTAGGAGCATCGATTGGCGGAGGTACTCAGTCGGAGTGCCAGCGTTCAGTCACAGGTTC